AATTCCCAGGCTCCGGGGAGCACAGACGAGCAGGATCTGGGACAGACAGGGAGCTCAAACATTGCTGGTGGCACCCCAGGGGCACCCCATGAGCATCCCCGGGATTTGAGGCCACCAACCCAACCTCCCAGGCTCTGGGATGTGGGACAGGCAGGGACACTGGTGACACCCCAGAGGCACCCAGTGCCCGAGGAGAACATCCAGAGGGTCCAAGCCCTCGGCTGGCAGCCCACATGGCCTCAGGGGGTCCCGGAGCTCCAGCCCAGCCGGGGCGCAGGGAGTGCCCGGGCAGAGCGAGCCGCGTTTGAAGCGCCGCGGCCGGGAGCGATCAGAGGGCACGGGGCGATAGCGCAGCCCGGGGCTGCTCTGATCTGTTATCTCGGCCTCCAACCCGGGCAACACCCGCACATCAAAGCGCTTCCTGCCGCCTCCACCCCGGAGCAGCCTGCGGGCAGCGCGGGATGCGCCCGGGGCTCCGCGGGGATGGGGCAGGGGGCGCCGGCACTGCGGGCACAGAGGCACGGAGCGATGTCCCCTGCCTGTCCTGGGGACATCAGCACAGCACTGCAGGCAGGGACACACCGGGAGCGATGTCCCCTGCCTGTCCTGGGGACATCACAGCACTGGACACACCGGGAGCGATGTCCCCTGCCTGTCCTGGGGACATCACAGCACCGTGGGCAGGGACACACCGGGAGCGATGTCCCCTGCCCGTCCTGGGGACACCAGCACGTCCTGAATGTGTGACCCCTGTTCAGTGTCCCAGTCTAACCCGCAGGACAGAGCCCTTTGCTCTCCCCCACCCAGACCCACCCAGACCCCCCTGCCCTACAAAACCCCGCTCCTTCCCCAGTGCCCCCCCCAGCCAGGCAGATTTCAGGTGCAGATTTTCCCGTTCCTCCCCCATTCCCCAGGAGGGACCATCTGCTTCCCTGAGCCCCAAGGAGGAGCAGCACAGCCAGGCCACACACTGCGAGCCACCAGCGTCTCCTGGCCACCAGCCCCGGGGTTTTGTCCTCTCCAGGAGCCCCCACAACATCCCAGGAGAGCAGGGAGGGAACGAGGGCTCAGCAGCATCCCACAGGAGGAGAGGATCCACCCCGAGCAACAGCGGAGGTGCTGGGTCTGCAGCAGGACAGGACCTGCACATTTTGGGATGGGATCTGCCTCCTGCCCTCTCCAAACCCCTGTTCTCCAGGAGCAGAGCAAAGTGCAGGAAGAAAACGGGAATTTTGGTTGTGGAGGGTGGGAACATCCACAGACAGCGAGAGCACGAACTGTGTGGGCAGCAAAGCCAAACAGGAAAGGGATCCAAGAGGCAGGGACAGGATTCTGGCAGCTCCCACCTCCCTGCTGCTCCCTCAGACCCCTGGGTCTGCTCAGACATGCCCCAATTCCGCTTTTAGTGCTGCAATTCTTCCATCCAAAGGGCTGGATTGACAAAAATGCAGCTGGAGAGCCACAGCCCCATTGCAGGAACTGCTCCCAGCAGAGCTGCCTCAGCACATCGTGCCCTGGCCCTGCACCCACACCCAGGCTGGGCTCAGCCTGGCCCCAAAAAACTGGAAAAGGGAAGTCCTGGCATGTCTGTGTCCATCCTTCTCTCCCTGTGTCCACCCCTCTCTCCCTATTTCCATCCCTCTCTCCCTATTCCCACCCCTCTCTCCCTGTGTCCATCCCTCCCTGAGTGTCACACGTGTCCCATCTCACAAGGGGATGCTTCCAGCTCCTTCCTCCCTGCTCCCCCACATGCAGAGCCGCCCAGGCTGGGCCAGCTCACGTCCCCAGCCTGCCCAGGAGGTGACCTGGGCTGGGAATTTGGGATCCTTGGGAAGAAACCCTCGCCACGCTGCCTCCTCCACCACCAGCACTGCGGGACGTGATGCACTGTGGACTCATGGAATGGTTTGGGGGGGAAAGGACCTTAAAATTCATCCAGGGTCACCCCCTGCCACATCCCACTGTCCCAGGCTGCTCCAAGCTCCCTGGAACACTTCCAGGGATGGGGCAGCTTCTCTGTGGGCTCCTGTGTGCCCCCAGTGCTGTCCAGGGCTGGAGCAGCTGCCCCACTGCGGGAGGAGCTGAACCAGCCCGGAAGGCTCAGCCAGGCTCAGGAGCTCCTCGCCACAGCCACAGCTGCCCTGAGCCCAATTCCCAGAGCCTGTCCCGAGGATTATCCCCAGCCCCAGCCCCGGCAGAGGTGTGGTTACAGCCAGGCCTGTTCCCAGGCCACCCGCGCTGGGAAGGTGTTAATGAGTAACCCTGACCCAGACGGCTCCGTGAGTCACCCAGAGCCGCCTGTGACTCACGGACACCTTCCCGAGCCCCCGGGCCACGGGGGATGCTCAGTGCTGGCGGTCAGACTGGATGAGGCGACCCCCCCCCCCAAACGCTGCCTCTTTAACCCCAAAATATCCCGGGGGGGTGGAGAGCTGCCCTGAGATGTCACCACACAAACCTCAGAGGTGCAGGAGGAGCTGCAGGAAGGAGCCCAGGACAGCCCAGGGATGGGCCAGGGCAGATCCAGGGATGGCCTGGGAGACTTCTGGCTCATTCCCAGAGGGATGCTCTCAGAGCATGGCAGCCCCTGCTCCCAGCTCCATCCACAGCTTCCTCCTCAAATTCCAGCCCTGACCAAGCCCCCAAACCTGAGCACAGGTGGAAGCTAAAAATAGAATTTCTCACCTTCCCCCCAGGCACACCCCTGAGGACTCTCTCGTTGACACACTCCAACCTGTTCTGCCTCCTGCTCTTTCCAGCAATTTCCCCTCCCTCCCCGCAGGAAAAGGCCACCCTGGCTCCGCAGAGCCCCAGAGGTGTCACTGGGCCTGGCAGGCAGGGCCAGGAATGAAGAAAGTCCCATTCCCCTTCATTTTTGAGAAGGATGACAAGCACGGGGTGACATCACCCGGGGCCAGCCCACGCTGCCCCAGGTTTCAGGAAGGCTCTGGCACCTGCTGACAGTTCTGGGTCATTTATTCAAGCGTCCCCACAGCGACAAACCCCTGCCAGGCTGAGGGATGGGCCTGAGCCGTGCAGGGACATTCCCTGAGCAGGAGCTCTGCTGATTTCCCAGCATTTCTGCTTTTCCTGCTGGGACTGCAGAGCCCCTGGCTGTGGGCAGGCAGGAGCTGGGCAGCTGCCCTTGGTTTCTGCCAGCAGGTTTCTCCTGCTGATCCATGTGATCCCAAAGGAGCTGGAGGGCTCTGCCCCCTCCTCACCTACAGGAGATCTCCATTTCCTGCAGGGAGGTGATGCCTCTTTTCTATTTTTCAGGTTCTGTGCTGCTTTAGTGTGTGGGTCTGGCTTCACATCAGGGGATGGTGAGCTCTGCACAGAGCAGGGAGACAAAACAATTCCTGCTCCAGCTGGGCACCAAGGACAAATGATCCAAATCTCAGCCCCAAGAGCACAAACACCGTGGGCTGGAGAGAGAAAAACAAGCAGGATGGGACTGGATGGGCTAAAGCTGGAATTGGACAATGAACTGCAATCTGCACATGGAGCAGAGCTGATCCCAGGGAGAGACCCTGTGAGCGCCCGTGCATTTTGGGACCATTTTGGTTCATCTTGGGTGCAGCCCTGGCTGGGCTCTTGTGCTGCCCAAGGTGGATCCATGGAGGAGATCCTTTGAATAAATCCCTGCTTTATTCTGTAGCTCTGTCCAGCCTCTGCTCCAGCTCAGCCCTCCCAAGGCATCACAGGGATGCTCTGAGGCACCTCCTGCACCCACAGAGCTGAGCAGGGATTGGATCTCCAGGATAAAAGGGATGACAGGGATTTTCCCCTCCTCATTCCCACACCTGTCTCCCATTCCAGTGCATAATGAACTGCTTCCAGGGTGGGAAGAGCTGCAAATCCCCCGTGTTTGTCCCCAGGGAGGGGATGGCTTTGGCTGTGCATCCCACAGGATCCCATCCCAGGGACCAGCTCTGCTCCCCACGGCCTGGGGGTGCCCCAAACCCACACATCTGGGGCAAGGTGCTCTCTGGAAAGCTCTGGATCAGGGAGTGACACCAAACAAGGGTGCAAAAGCCACGCTGGAGTCCTGGCCTGTCCCCACCCCCTGTCCTTGGAGGTGGGAAGGAGGGAGGGAAGGAGCAAAACCCATCCGGCTGCGCATTGATTTCGCAGCTCTGAGCTGATTTCCAGCCCGGGGATTACCCATTTAAGCAGTGTTTTTTCCTGTGCTGACCCTAAGCTGATTAATTCTCTGTTCCCCCCACTTCTCCCCTCTGTCCCTTCCTCCCTTCCGTGGAAAATGAAGGAATGAAATCCCTGGAACGAGCTGAGGCAGAGCTGGATGCAGTGCGAGCGGAGCCTGACGGGATCCTGCCTCCCTGCAGAGCTCCCAACCACCACAATCTTTATCTTCTTATCCCAAAGGATCTGATATCCCTGAGGAAAGGGAGAAATCTCCCTGCCCATGACCCCAGCAGGTCACGGTGAGGCCCATCAGCCCCAGAATTGTCCTCCCAGTGCAATGGGAACTGCTGGTCCTGGAGATGCTGGTGGGACTCAGCCAAGAGCAGCCAAACCTGCCCTGGCACGACCCAGCCGTGCTTCCCAAGGGCAGGAATCTCCTTTTCCAAGCGCTATCACTCCCTGTGAGCCCCGGGATGCTCCAGGGTTTGCTCCTTAAAGGAGGAATTTCAGAGGCACAGGACTGGGGGATGCAAAAAGTGCAGCCCTCGGGGAGCCCCCAGGGCACCTCCATCCCCGTGCCCAGAGAATTCCTAAAGCACAGAGCAAAGCCAGGTGTGCCAGGGCACCTCTCCCACCCTGGCACAGCAGGAAAGCTGGGAACACACCCATTCCTATAAAAAAATAATGACAGAAGCCAGCAGAGGGAAATTAGCACACCAAAATTCTGCTTAATTGCCACCCGGAATTCTCTGCTGGATCAAGAGGCAAAATTCCCTCTCAGCTGCAGCAGAAGGGCCCTGGGGCCAGGGTGAGGGGCTGGGGAAAAGTGGGAAAATTCAGGACTCACCTGGAATTATGTGTTCAGAGGGGAGTGGATTTGGGGCTCTTTGTCCCTTTTGGGTGCCCAAAGCTGGAGAGTGGCACCAAAAACCCTCCAGGAGCATCGAGCAGGGCAGGGCTTGAGCCAGGAACGGCTGGGGAGGCCTAAATGTGGGGAATTGAGAAAGGGATTCCTTGTAAATGACTTCCCTTTGAGTGGAACAGAAAACTGGGATCAAACATGGGTAAAACACTGCTAAAATAGGGATAAAATGAGTGAAACATGGATAGAACAAGGATAAAACACTGCTAAAATATGAATAAAATGGATGAAACATGGATAAAACATGGATAGAATGGGGATAAAACACTGCTAAAATATGGATAAATGGGTGAAACATGGGTAGAACAAGGATAAAACACTGCTAAGGACAGGAATGAAGCCAAGGATTTGTCACCCAATCCCAACAGATCTTTGGGATCATTCCCAATCCCTTCAGCACAACCTTCACAAGAGTCTCCTTCTCCTCCCTGACACCCGTGTAAGATCCACCTGGAGATGGATTTTGGGAGAAAATCCCAGCTTCCTGCAGAACTGGGGAACAGCTGATCCCTTTTCAACACCTCCACACATCCCAGCTGTAATTTACCGAGCTCATTTCCCCGGCACCCCGAGCTCAGCACCCGCCTGCACTGGGAGTTTTGTTTGCTTTAATTGAGGGGGGAAAAAAACCCTGGAAAAAAGCAAAACTCCTTTCCCAACGCCCTGGTTTCATTTTCCAGCTGCCCTTGATTTATTGATTGGCCCATTCCCTTTTAATGGGCTCTCCCTGCTGGAGCCTGGGGGTTTCCTGCAGGGCAGGGATTTGAGGGGGTCCTGCCATGTCCAGGGAGCTCATTCCCAACAGCATCCCTGGGATTTGAGCAGGGGGAAAGTTGTCTGCAGCTGCATCCCTGCTGGATTCTGCCGCATCCTCTGTCCCCATCCCTGCTTGTCCCCTTTCCCAACACCTTCCAGCTCCCTGCTTCCAGCATTCCCACAACAAAGCCACTCTGCAGCAAAGCAAGATTCCAAGGGAGATATTTTTATGGGATAACAAAAGGGCTGCAGGCACAAAACCTGACTTTTCCAAGCTACACCCACTTCCCTCCTCCCTCCTTCCTCCTGGCTGTGCTGGTGAAGCCATAAAACTTCAATGGGATTTGGGATTTGGGAGGGGAATCCCAAGGAGGAGACCTGTCCAGTGCTGGAGCACAGGGGAAGGTGCCCAGCAGTGCCCAGCCTTCCTCCCTCCACTCTCCTCCTCCTCCTCTCCCTTGGGCAGGATCCAGGGCCCAGGGCCTGCAAGGAGAACTCCCAGTGGATGAGATTTGCATCTCCCTTAATTAAATTGTTCCTTTGGGATTCAATCAGAGGGCTGTGCAAAGCCCAGGCTGCAGCACCAAGCCCGGAGCCTGCTGGGCTTTGCCTGCCAGGCTGGACACAGGAGCTGGAGGAGAGGGAGGCTCCACATCCAGGGGTGTGCTCAGAGCAGCTGGAGAGCTCTGGAATGGACAGAGAGGATGGGTGAAAACTCAGGATAGACATCCATGGGCAGCCCAGTTCATCCAGTCCAGCCCAGTCCAGCCCAGTTCACCCAGGGCAGCCCAGTTCACCCAGTCCCAGCACTGGGATGCTCAGGGAAGGACTCTCTGGAAGGAGCCGTGTTTGGAATAGCCCCTGTGGTTTCCCAGCTTTGGGGGTTCCTGCAATTGTCCCCAATCCCAAACTGGGATCATCTAGAAGACAGATCTCGACCCCACTGAAGGTTAAACACAACAAAAATACAGCAGGAAAATGGAGCATGCAGCAACTCCAGCCCAAAGCATTCCAGTGAAACCATCCCACTAAGATCCCACCTGCCCTGGCAGAGGAGGGGGTGCTCCCCCAGCTCCCTCTGGCCCAGTTCCACCAGTTCAGCCTGGTCCAGCTGCTGGAAGCCACATTTGCCACGGGTTTGGCCCCTCACAATCAGGGCTTTTTGAAATCCTCTCTATCTCAGAGGAGCCGAGCCCTGGCTGAGCCCCAGCTCCCAGCCCAGGATAAACACAGCCTACCTGGCCTGGAAGTGCCAGAGGCTCACAGGCACCATCCCTTTGGATAAACATCCCAGCAAAGGCAGCCCTGAGCGCTCGGGAACGCTCCGTGCACGGCTGAAGTGTTTGGGAACACTGGAGCACAGGAGATGCTCTCCCTCCCTCCCTCCTGCCTGCCCCAGGCTCGGCACTCAGAGGGGATTTAAAGGCAAAGCCCAGCTCCAGGCTCGGGAGGAGGAGGAGGCTGAGCCACCTGGGGGTCCAGGACAGGCAGGTGGAGATGTCCCCGTGTCCCTCACACCTCTGGGGAAGCACAAACGATGCTGGGCAGGCAGGAGAGCCAGGGCTGGGATGCAGAGGGGGATCCAGCCCTGGAATGGGCACTACAAGAGCTGCAGGGAAAGCCCCGAGCCAGAGGAAGTTCAGGATGAGGGTCTCACACACTGACCAGGGCTGGGATGCAGAGGGGGATCCAGCCCTGGAATGGGCACAAGAGCTGCAGGGAAAGCCCTGAGCCAGAGGAAGTTCAGGATTAGGGTCTCACACACTGACTCTGCAGCAGGGCTGAGGATGGGCTCAAACTGACACAGCAGGGTTGGGTTGGTTATGAGGAAAAACTTCTTCCCTGGGAAGGTGGGGAGGCCCTGGAATAGAATTCCCAGAGCAGCTGTGGCTGCCCTGGATCCCGGGAAGTGTCCAAAGCCAGCCTGGAGCAGCCTGGGGCAGTGGCAGGTGTCCCTGCCCATGGTAGCACGGGATGGGCTTTAAGGACCTTCCCAAGCCAAGGCATCCCAGGGTTCCACGCTCAGCATTCCCAGGATGAATGATCCTGGCTGCAGCACCCCTGCTCCGCACGGGACACTCCCCTGTGCACAAGGAGCAGGGAAAGGATTCCTGCCCCAACTTCCTGAGCAGGTGCCTCAACTCCAGCCATGCCAACCTTTCCCAAGGGACTGCCCAGCCCCGTTTCCCCCTCCTTTCTCCCTCTCCCTGCTCCTGCCCTCCATCCATTGCTTTTCCAGCCTCCAGAGGGTTAAAGGTGTGTTCTCCCTTCCCTCCCTCCTGCCCCTCTTTTCCCGGCATGGACCTGGAGACCGGAGGCTCTCCAGATTTAATCTCCAAGACAAACAGCCTGGAGCTGCTCCATGTGCTCTCAGCCCACGGATCCAGGAGCAGGGCCAGCCTCGGGGCTCTGCCCACCCCTCCCGGGGCTCCCCGTGCCAGGGAGGTCCCCAGCTTTGCAGCACGGCTGGTTTGGAGCTGGGAGTGAAGAAATTCCCACCCCAAAAACCTCTGGGTGGGTTTTTATGGGATGGGAGGAGCAGGGGAGATTCCACAGGGGCTGATGGATGTGGGGAGGGGTGAAGATGAACATGAAAACACCAAATGTGGCCCTGAGTGTGGCTCAGGGTGCTGAGGAAGTGAAGAATCAGGTGGTTTGTCCCCAAAAGTCACCATTTTATGGCTACTCCTCCTGAGAGGCCGGGGAAAATCCAGAGGAGATTTGGGAGCTGCTGGAAGTCAGCTGGCACCAGCCAGGGGTTTGTTCAAGGCCATTGCCGTGACAAAGGTTTAAATCCCACACCAGATCAGAGACCAGCATCCCACAGAGATCCAGGGAACACCTGGATGCTCCTGCTGGAAGAGGAAGGAAAACATCTCCAGGCTGTTTGGACACAGGAGCCTCCCATGAAACACCTTCCAGTGGGAAGTTGGGAGATTGAGATTGTTTTCCATGGGGAATGGGAGAGCAGAGGGTGCCAGCAGGAGCTGGGCTTAGCCCTGGAGCAACCCCAAAATCCACCTTCCATCCCTAAAAATGACAGGCAAAAACCTGCTGGGCAGGAATTGGGTCTGGTCTGGACTTTTCACTTATTTCACCCTCAGAAATGCATTTTCCTGGGATACTGTGGGACTTCCAGGAGGGAAGAACTCCCCCAACCAAACTCAGAACCTCCAGCACAGCCTGAGAACCAAATTAGCTATGAATGGAGCTTGGATCACCTGGATTTGGGATCCCCTGGGATCTGCCCACCCCCCAGCTCTAGAATTGCTCTCTGAGGATGGTGGCTGCACGAATCCACCCCACACTGAAGCTTCCATGAAAAAGGTTCTTCCATAAAACCCAGAGGAGCAATAAAAATATAAATAGTGTTGCAGGCACCACCAAACTGGGCTGTTTGAAGTGGATTTATTTTTTCCCTGCGCTCTGCAGGGTGGTATTTAAGGAAGAAGGGAGGAGGAGGAGGAGGAGGATGAACCCGAGCTGCTCTGTCCACGCTCTGGTGGTCTCCCAGAGCCAGCCAGGGGCTCCAGCCCCCCAAATTAATGACCTGTGCCACCCACAGGAATACATCAAGCTTTTCTCCCTGGCTGCAGCCGGGGGCTCCCAACACTCCAAAATCCCAGCCTGGCTCCCTCCACCCAAATATTTCTCAATATTTGCCTTTGAGATATCTTTTGATATCAAAAGGTGGCCACAGCCCCAGCCCTGAGCTCGCTGGTGGTCCCGAAATGAGCGGCCAGAGGATCTGAGCCTGCAGGCACCACCAAACTGGGCTGTTTGAAGTGGATTTATTTTTTCCCTGCGCTCTGCAGGGTGGTATTTAAGGATGAAGGGAGGAGGAGGAGGAGGAGGATGAACCCGAGCTGCTCTGTCCACGCTCTGGTGGTCTCCCAGAGCCAGCCAGGGGCTCCAGCCCCCCAAATTAATGACCTGTGCCACCCACAGGAATACATCAAGCTTTTCTCCCTGGCTGCAGCCGGGGGCTCCCAACACTCCAAAATCCCAGCCTGGCTCCCTCCACCCAAATATTTCTCAATATTTGCCTTTGAGATATCTTTTGATATCAAAAGGTGGCCACAGCCCCAGCCCTGAGCTCGCTGGTGGTCCCGAAATGAGCGGCCAGAGGATCTGAGCCCAGCCACGGGCAGGTCCTTGTGGGCAGCCACAAACCCTTCAAAGGAGCCGGGAACAGCGAGGCTCCAGTTCCCCGGGGCCACCAAACCCCAGCTGGGGCCACTGCAGCCCAGTGTGCCCCTGAGCCCGGCCAGGGGGCTGGCCAGGCAGGAGAGGCAGGGAGGGAAAG